GAACCTGCTTTGGCAGGTTGGTCTGGAGGGGAAAAGCTGTCTCTTGGGTTGCTTTGATGTTATTTGCCTTCCCATGGGTGTGCAGGGGTGCTTCAGCAGGGACCTGATACTTGGGATCCCTGGGCAGCAGCGCACGGACTGCTGGTGACCTGTGGGCAGGGAGAAAGCCCAGCCAGCCGGGCTCCCTCCGGCAGATCAGCATGGCCCCGCAGACCCGTGAGCTTCCCCCACTGCCTGTGCTTCCAGCCAGGGCCGCAGTAGCCGCAGCCTCTGCGTGGGATTGCCCATCTCCACAAAGGGTCCAGGGTTATCCCTCAGGCTGAAAGGTGCTCTGCAATCAGTTGCGGGGGGGCGGTGTCTTTTCTTTCTTCCATCCCCTGAGGCGAAGGTATGATGTTACACTAGATGTCTTAGGGTCAGAGCTGGCTCCTCCTGCTCCATCAATCCCAGAAGTCAAACTGCTGGGAGTAACAAGATTCCCGATGGAGTCTGGCCGATTGTTTCACTCCTCTCGTGCTCATGTTCCCTGCGTACTGGCGTACTTTTGGCAGAGATAAACATTTGGGACTTTATTTAACTGTACATTTTCAGGAAGATGAACTTTGGTCCCCAGGAGGGGCTGAGCTAAGGCAGAACAGCCCCTGCCTCTTCCTCTGCCCCGTGTCAAAGGGGAAAGGGCTGCGGCCACACCTGTCCCTTCCTGGGAGAGCATTTTGTTCTCCCGATCCATGCATTTGTTCAGGGGATGGTGCCATCAGAGTGCCTGTGGGCTGGGATTTCAAGTGCCACAGCGTGCACAGCGCATGAATCACAGGGCGACCTGAGAGCTAGGCTCTCTTTGCCGGTCAACACGAGTGCTGCCTGCAAGGGGCTCTAAAAAAGAAAGCAAAAAGGATGGGATGCAAGACAAGAGTTAATCTCAGTTTCCTCAAGACTATAGAAATACAACTATGGGGAGACCGGGGTCACCCACTGCTAAACATCTCAGTGTAGCTTTAAGTCTCTAATCTTA